ATCCATCCATCCATCCATCCATCCATCCATCCATTAATACCCCCATCATTGAGCCTAATAACTGTAAACGCTTGTAAAAAGGAATCAAGAAGTCACTTTTAGTGATTTCAAGTTATTAGTTTTAAAATTTCCCTTATATTGTTGCAAAGGAAAGCAAAATTTAATTCGTATGTCTCGGAAAATTATGTACAGATTGATGGGTTTTAGTTTCCCTTATTCCACATAAGGATAAGGTAACTTTGTATTTTCAATATTCTGGGATAATCTATCTTGGGAAGCTGATTGTCGTCACTGGAAACGTATCCTTTTTTACATATCCATTAGGATTATTTGCAAGCCTAAACAAATAAGTGTATAACATCTACTGGTTAATACTGGCAAGAGGGGCAATAACGTGAGAACGGTGAAAAAAGACAGCGGGTAGAACTCTTTACAAAATTGTTTTTATTAAAGAAGAAAAGGTGTATAAGGCATCCCCCTTAAGGCATTTCCTACCAAAGTCACGTATAGGTGACACGCAGCTTTTCTTATCTGATCATTTTATGACTAGAAAATAAAATCATTTTAGGATGGCTGATAGTTGCATCGAATCACAAAGTAAAAAAGTTGGTTGAGTTGAACATAATAAGGCAGAAATAAGATATTTTTGGCCTTAAGGACAACTACGATTTTTCAGTTTCCCAGCAATAGATAAAATGGTCAAAAAAATAATGGCGTTTGGTGTCATGTTCTAATAATAAAAACATCTGGACTGTGGAGGTGGATTTATCACCGACACCCTAATGAGCTGAATGAAATAAGCAAACAAGCTTACATGGGTGAGACCTCAGGGGTAGCTGTAGATCCGCGTCGAGATGCATTTTTGAATGCCAGTCGGGAGTTATACTCAACAGGGCTTTCAGGAGGAGTGTTTGTAACAGTCGCCTTCTTTCGATGGAACCGTGGTGAGCCAAGAAAGTTAAAACGAAGGCTGTTGAGTCGGGCACGCCAATGTTGTGGCGAGAGCGGAGAAGTGGCGGTGCCAGCGGATACCTCTACCGACCGAGACTCGGAGCCATTAGCACTCTCCTTTGAGTTGCCATTAGCATTGCAAGTTTTCTACAATGAAACAAACAAATGCATTCGTTTATAGACTACGTCAATTTGTTCTCTCCTACAAATGGTAACGCTATTCGTATTACATCCTCCGCTCTACCAGATGCCAGCGGATAATAAATAACAAAAAAGCATTCGCATTAATGCAAGGTTTTCCCGAAAAAGGGGCAATTTTTCAATACTGTTTTATTCTAATGTTATATAATGTAGTCGAATGCATTTCTGTACTGCTTACAGGTTTTGTCCACCCTAAAATATGCAGTTACTGAGTCGGATACGATGACAAAGTCTAATTAGCAATAGTTCTTGCGAAAAAAAAATTAGCCCCAAAAAGTTATAGGAGCTTATAAGAGCAAAATTTTAGCGTTTATACACTTGACGGTAAAAGTTTATTCTTCTCAGACTGTTCCAAATAGCTTATTGAAGAATGCTTAACGCCGATTTCCTTAATATTCATCAACAATATTTCTAATTTTGAGAGAATAAATTTAAACGATATTTCGATAGTTCCAGTTGATTTACCTTTTGCTCGAGTTTATGAATATCTGCTCTCGTCGATGTTGTATCCTTATTCTCCTCCGAGACAACTGTGGGTCGAGGTATATGTGTGAGGCTTTGAGGACTAACAATCTTTCTCAAGACGTCATCTTCCGCAGAAATCGGAGTAGGTGAATTCGGACTGCCAACAGTACTTTTTCGCTCTGTTGATGGCGAGACCAGCTCTGAAGGGGTTTGGACAGCAGACTGACGGATCTGCGAGAATCGCTGCTGATTGCGGGATGGGGAGAGAAGCTGGCCCTGATGCACGTTCGGATGTTTCCTCATGATCAGCGGTGCATCCACCCGATTACGCGTCGGTGATGCAATGACGTGTTTTTTGTACTGATCGATGATTTCCTCTATGGGACTGCAAGCCTCATAGCCACTCATTCGGAGGTGACCTCGGACGTAACCCAGAGGTGAACTGATTGGACTGACGGGGGTACTCGAGCGAGTATCAAGATTGGTGCTGGCTGATTGTTTTCGTCTAAAACGGAGCCGCAATAAACATTTATTTACTTTAACCCGAATCACATTCTTAGTCTAAAATCAAAATACCTTTTTATGGATTCGCGGTAAACAGCCACATTGCAAGTGCACATATATTCCGCTTTTATATGAATAGCCCACGTATACAGAATTTGGTAAGCCTAAAAGACTTGCGCAGTGTTGGGTATGGCTCAATAAAGTGCATTGTTTGAAGCTGTTAGGACCTAGAGAGGCACGTATTTCTCTATCAGCAAGGTTTTTAAAACTTGGATAGATGCACATCAGCCTATCTTTACGGTATTCCCTATCGTGTACCAGATCATTTCCACTTGAACCAATCACACGGGTGTAAACCAAACTTGTCTGCTACCCAAATCTCATTTAAATCAGTTCCAATATTGTAGCATCTTTGGGCAAAGTGATATAGCATCTGTGGACGATGCAGTAGTAGGGCTTTGCATCCATAAATGTTACAACGTTGTGCTGGTCTGATGACAAGTTAACACCGATTGGCGACCAGTGATGTTTAACTTTCATGAGGATATTTTGATTCTTTTACATCTACATTGATTACGAAACGTTGTGGTGAAACCTGAACGAATGGGTTCCACTCACATACACCGATAAATGTCAATCAGTAAACTGTAAATCCGTCAATTTGTTTTCCTTTACGTCTTTCACGTTACTTTATAACAACATAGCGTGAAATTTAGATTGAGCCCTGGCTAATTTGCTATGGGAAGCGACATTTGCCCTCTCGTACTTTTGTAGTCCAACTTTCTGTGGATGGACAAACATACTATTGGACATTTTCAAACAATTTACTCACTGCTCATCCTGCGCTTTTATGGCACATACTAAATCATCTTCAAAAGACTAGCCCAGCTTCATGTGTGTGTACCTCGTGTGGATGAAATTGAGTTTATTGAGTTATTTGCTAGCTGAAAGTCCAAAAAACACTTACAACTGAGATCCGTCGACTTGACGCTATTCACATTCTCCTTATTTTTCCTTAGAAACAGGAAGGAATTTAATTAGTGAATTAGTCGGAGGTGTGGTTCACTTTTGTTGCAGCAAAACACCAAGCAAGACAGCAAGAACCATGTCGCATTCCAAATACTGCCGGAAAAGTTCACCTCTAAGAGGCGTCACTCTGAATTCTAGTTGGAACATGAAGGAAGGTGCAAGAAAGAGGGGTTCTCCCCTACTCTCATCTTTATATTCCGCATTCCCTGGATGATCTTTCTACAAAGTCTAAGTAATTACCGCATTCTTTTGGCGTTAAATAACCCTGCTTAACAGAAACATTTAAGGAATTAACGTGAGACAGAGACGGAGGTGACAAGAGCATGCCTCATCCCTGGTTTCTAGAGGCATAATTTCTTATAAAAATGGAGTTCGCACCGGACTTATGTCCCACCGGTAGCAGCTTATTTAGCAACTCTCTATAACCACGAGTTAAAAAAAAAACTATTAAAACTTGCACAAGCTACTATTTGAAATATGAGACAATCACTGTTCTTCTCTGACAGTATATTGAGAAGTCTACGCAAACCAAACGTCGTTTTGACAAATTTGGTAAAGATATCGAAAGATTTGTCAAGTTCTTTGCTCAATTGGATACAAAACCACAAGTTAGGTTCTTTTTACTGCCTCTCCATGGTTGATTAAAACGCTCGGAACAACAGCCGCATCCGAATTGAATAGTTTACGCTGATATGAAGGACACCTTTCTTATTCTATTAAAAGGACATTTTAGGAAACTCACTTTCTATAATAAATACTTGTGAGGTCCTGTAAAATTGTCCGTTTTTTCATTTTAATTTTGCTTACCAGGTGAAGAGTGAATTTTTAAAACTTAACATCCCATTAATAAAGGTATGGTTTATCTCCCACTTTCTCAAAAATAATACTTCATAAATGCACCCTAGAATGTAATCGAATTCTACACAGGCTATTAATTTGATCTACCAAACTCGAAACTGAACACGGTTTTGCTAAGACATCACGTGATGTTAAATTACAGATCGCATCAAAGTGGAGGCGAAAAGGAATACTCATTTTCAGCCTCCCTGAGCCGAAACAGCAAACATCTACGGTAGTGATGGCGCAGTTGAATTTAAGTAAGTTGGAATCTACAAGTCGTTTGGCATTTACAAGGTTAATGCAAATATAAAGCCCGCGGAAAAAAACAATTAAGCTAGTTTCCTGATTCAACTCTCAAGGATGAGGATCCACTTGGAATAATCTCGAATCCAAGTAAGTAATAAATTCTGCTGTGCGTATTAGTTGCCTTGGGAGTAATAAACAAGCGTACCTAACCATAAATCAGAAAAGAAGATAACGAAATCAAACAAGTTAGTGACGCAAGCCTACTGAGAATTCCCATTTTTGCCTCCAGGACCTAGAGCAGAATCGAATTTTAGCCACTTCTGTACCGTACTTTTTAGTATTCCTGAACCACCTTTGTCGTATATGTTTGTCCAATGCCAAGGAATGTGGTGAACGATCGAAGCTTAAGGAGCTATCCTCGGAAAAGTACAGGGGATAAGGATGATGATGAGGGTGCAATTAAGGCAGTTTATCTTGCTTTCCCATTCTTCCATTTCAATTGAATCGCGGTGTGCGGTCCTCTCAGGCAAGTTTTTAGTTTATAATGTGTCAAGTCTTGCCCCGTATAGTGTTGTGCAATTAGTGAGGTCGACTTACTTCCAAATGATTCTCAAGTCCAATTTAACCTCTTTTCTAAAGAAGAGTAAAAGGTTTTTCTTGCACTATTTCCAATTTTACTAAAGCAGTCAAATCTTAGACATACTTGTCTTCCGACCTTTAGTAGGTGAACAATTCACACATACATAAAACAGGTATATATGTCTAGCTACGAAGTGTGGAGTCGTGGGATGCCTTAGAAGTGTGCACTGGGTGGGAAGAGAATCTTTCAGGAATGTCCAATAATGCGTTTGCAGTAGAAAAAGGTAAAGAAATGCTGAAACGGTCTGGTTTTATAGCATTTTGATTAAGCAGATGCGCAGATTTGGCTTCCGCTCGGCGGCATGGCCACCAAACTGTGCCAACAGCTTCAACCGTGCCACTGTTACTGCTTGCGTCGTCAAGACGGAAAAACAAGGATACTGCAGTATTGTCCCAAAATTTTGCAGTATCCGGAATGGAGAATCTTCCTCAACGCAATGCATCTCATAGTGACTCATCATCAAAATTCCATTGTTAGAGCATTTCTGGGTGGGACGCAATGCTGCCACACCCTTTGCAGAGGTTTTACAACAAATTTGAGGTAAAATTTCTGCAAATTTGCTACTGAGTTAAAGCCGATTCGATGAACTAGACGAGCTGAGTGTACATACATCATTTAAGCTCCACCAACAGTGTTATGAAATGCGACTTTAAAATGGAAGGAAACTAGCCGCGAATTTAATTAAAGTTTACCACACGGACAGTTCCTAAACCCTACCAACATGCATTTTAGTGAGCTATACAACAAATTGAGCATCTTTTTTGGCATCTGGCAAGTAGATGGGAAATACACATTTATTATTTTATTAAATAAAATTCAACATCATGTTTGAACACATTTAGAGAGTTAAAGATAGCCTTTTTCAAAGGTCATACTTACGATCAAATCAAATAAAACTATGAGCATAAATTCTTGATAAGTAAGGACTTTTACAAATAAATCGTTTGTATGTATTTTCTTCCTTATAAAACTTACAATTTCTGTACTGCCAGACCACGACGACCGGCTAGTGGGGAGCCTTCGCTGAGATCACCCAACGAGAGCCGCACGGTTCCGTTGAGACCAATTCTAAGGCTGTCGATGCGTTTCCGTGGTGGATCTTGATTTGGAAAAAGAAAAAAACAAATTTAAGCTGAATTCTACCATTTTAAGTGGGATTTTTTTGCAGAAATTCTTATATAATACTTTTTTGCTTTATAAGTAGTATATGCACGAGCGGATTTTATAGGAATTACGCATTACTCTACGAATAAAAAGCCTTTTTGAGCACTTTTGTACAATGTGTTGAAAGGGGACCATCCCATTAAGAAGTGGGCCCCGGTGGGACTCTAAATACACCAAATATTCATTTCCTAGAATTTGCCTTATTTTGTGAACAATCTCTAATGGACCACAACAGAATACGCTATTCCCTCAATCAATTGTCATCATAACTCTTTCTTTCATATTTATTAATGCATAAATATAAAGCCAAATGTGGAACTCAATTAGGAATCTGGCAAAGAAAACGCTGTGTCGCGGTTCAGTTCATAGTAGAGTCGTGAGGTTGCTAAGCCTTACCGGAAAGACTAGACAATTTTAAATCCTCCTTTTTAATGAATAATCCAAAAATAATTAAGGATTACTCTTAATCATTGAGGTGATATTGACTTAGCAATCATTCAATAAAGGCAGAAGAATGTAGAAATGATCATGGCAAATCCAGGTAAACGTAGGTTATGTTTTATTCACACAGTCTGTGACAATGCACTGCAGCAACACAGCTAACTACAGGGATCATTAACCCGGCAGAAGCGTATATATTTACGCAGCTGGATATGAGCCAATTTACTACGTTGATAAGTGGACTGGGTATCTGTGTAAAAAAGCCCTTGCTAGATTAGGGGCATCGCAATGTGTGACAGACATGCCCACAACGGATTCGGTAATCAGGGCGGTTGATAAGGCCCCCAATTTCAGTCCTAACCATTTGTGAGGCATCAAATGTCACGTAAAGTACAACACAGGATCAAAGCTTTCTTAAGCAACATGAGAATATGAAGAAAGGGGGAAAGTATCTCACCTTTTACTGGACACATCCCAACTGACGAGGCGTTGAACATAAAATGGCGAAAAAAGCAATTATACTTTAGTGATTAAATGGAACGAGGGTGAAAAATGCATCAACACTAAGAGGGCGTACAAAACTGCTGAAAATAACGCATCGAGGTGTTTTAAAAGAGCGCCTCAGGGAGAAAATGCTTTTTGAATTGCACAGCCAACCTTGAAGTACCGTCTCTAATCCCTAATTCAAAGGTACACATCGAAATAACCGCCCTGGAAAATTACTTAACCATTTAAGGGGTCTTGACTAAACCATCCTACAGTCACGTATTATCGTCCTTCAAGGAAACGGTTGAAGACGAGGGCCAAAAAACCATTTCCAACCGGTAATGCTATGCCGGCACTAGTCCGTACAAAATACATGATCCTTCTAACATAGAAAATTTCCGAAGACCATGATGCCTGTCTTTTTGTGAAAAGAGAGAGCAGGAAATATACACGCACGGATGACTGTGGACAGTGACATCTCGTGCACGTTCACATACACAGAGGGATACAAATGAAGGCATCAACTCCCAGAAGGGCGTAGAGGAGGTGATGTGACTCACTGCCTCACACAAATCTACACACCCAAATGCAGTGGTGAATTCGCGTTTTACAGGACTAAATCTCCGACTGAGTTAGTAAAAGACAGTGGGAAGAAAGCAGCAGTGCTAGCCTCACCTGTAGTGCTCCGCGAGCGGATTTCATCGGGATCTTCATAACAGGGACTCCTTATCTTCCGATCGAGTAAAAGGAAGTATATCACTTTCTCCGTATTGTGACTTTAAGAGGAAAAAGAATGGGTGATGTTTAGCATAAAATACGATATAATGCGCCAGGTTTAGGCGGGTTTAAGCATCAACAGCATACACAATTTACCGAATATTTTTTGCAGAAATGTACGTTTTAAAGGAGATGAGAATCATTTAACACTGCGATGAACGCTTTGATTAGTATCTCATGGAAGTAAGCAATCGTTGTAAGACAGAAATAGAAGCAGTTCATAACAAAAATTTACTGTTAACCCGAAAGGCCAAACGTTACTATCATCACATATATGTGACAAAATAAGTTCCACGTGCCCTTTCCAGTTCATGGCAAAAAATTTTGTTGCAATTCATAATTTTACAAGGTTCTTGTTTAGAATAAAATTCAATAGTGCTAGGGTTATAGATACATTAGGAGAACGAAACATCATCCGGACTGCGGTAGTTTACCTCCCCCTGAGACGATGGTGAGAAACTCACCACATCCCAATAAGGAACCTTCGACGTCACATTAGCTGACTGTTTCTATGATGCTAATATAGGTATAAGAACGTTTTAAAATACCCTGTTCTATTAGTGCAGCTGTTCTAACGAAAGGGTATCTAGTAAAGTTATTACAACTGCGCAAATGTTGTTTCTTTGATGCAAACGCATTCAGTTGAATTGGAGGGCTGGAAAATACATTCACCCTTTAGCCATCACCTATCCTTTTGTCAAACCTAAAATACGCAATTCATTGTCCCCATTAGGCATAAATTGTTAGCATTTGTAAAATTTGTTTAAAATCCCACTTTAATAACAAGAATAAACCCAAAAGCAGCAGTCTATTGCCTTTCAGTTAAGTAGCACATTGTGGACCTTCAAAAACCAGACCGAGTACATATCTGATTTTGTGTGCTCCAAAAGATTCAGTAAAACAATCATGTAGGTTTCAAGGCAAGTTAAAAATACAGTTCAGCCATTTGTCTTGCGGACCTCCTACACCACTTTCTCATAAAGGGTACGGAAAAAAAAGATAATTCTGTTTTCACCTTAAAAAGAGATTCATATTAAAACTTGTTCAAAATCTTTTTCTACGTGGAGCTGTCAAAAGCGATGCAAAATAAAACCTTAGTCTGATAGATATTAAAATTTATCTCTATCATGAAATTAATTGGAAACTGCCAACTGCGTCTTCTACTTTCAGGGAAAATCCCTCAAAACAAAACTAAGTACTCTTAATTTAGAGAAATTAGTTGGGCTTTTGAGGACCGAAAGTAAAAATTTTTTACTCTGTGTGCAACTATTCCCTCATGAAAGGCAAATTAAGGGTGGAAAACTGCCCATCTTTAGGTGGGATCAAAAAATATTGGATTCCGCATGCTCATTCATCAATCTACCGGGAGGTGTAAAATTCATGTGTATTTTTGTGTTCTGATTGTAGATAAGGGCTCATTTTACATTCTTCTTCTTTCATTTTTGGGGTGTTTTTGAGTAATGAGAGAAAAAACCGCCTTAAACATTAGTGGTATTCCACTCGATAGTGGATTTAGAAAGTGTATAAAACCACACTGCGATGTGCATGTTCAGTTCACCTTCCAAGTACTTACTCTATAAAAGGAAAAAGTTAACATCCGTTAGTTCCCTAGCTACCATTCATTAAGACCAAAAATCCCTACATTTACTTCCCACTGACAGAAGAATGAAGTAAAATGACACTTTTTAATTAAGCAGGGAGAAACAATAAAACCTTATCTCTCCTAAATTCGTTTAATATCCTTTAACAATAGTACAAACTGTTTTCAAGGAAAATTAATGAAAAATTCAAGAAAATCAAACATTAATGTGGATTTTTATAAGGAAGAAGTAGGAGGGATTGCAGAAGGACTACTACATAAGCCGTAGCAGTGATAACCTCTCCGTTTACTTCAGACTTCTTTCCAATACTATCTGGCATGTGATTATCAGAATCCACAAAAAGGCGGTGTTCATCATTTAAAGCTCGAAGAAATATCACGGGGGAATGCGAGGGCTGAGGAGAGAAAATGATTTTGCCTCTCCCTCTCACTTGCCTTCCTTCCCTCCCTTCCCGGATTCCAACTATAGTGCAATATGAATGAGGTTGTCTTACGAGCCAATTTCGTGGCACTACAAGGTATGCGGTATGTGGTCTTGCTTCGCTTTGTGTTCACTCTCTTTTTATGAACTAAGTAGTCCCATTCCATCTTATTTCAAAAGAAAAAGTTTTCTTGAACACCTACGAGATGATTTTCAGGAGGCAAACTTTTGTGTTTACAATCCACCACACACACAGAGCAAGCATTTGCGGTGTGTGCATTAGAAGTGTGGGGCGGAGGGTAAGTGGATCCATCCAGAAGCAGTGGATGAAGTGTATTGGTAATTCTTGAAGGTTATCATCATTTGTTAGTGTATATGGCTACCACCCCTTTGCTTAGAAGCTTCAACTAGTGTGGAGTGAAAATAAATGGTAAGTGTTCGACAGTGGATGGGGGAGTGACCTACCGATATACCGACGGGTGTCGGTACTTCAAATGTCTGCGGTATAAACAATCGTGTGCGTTTTAAATGTTCATGCAACATTCATAAACTCATCACAGGAACCTCCCTAGTCACGGTCAGCCAAAACTGCTACGAGCCCAAATTTGCGCAGTTAAACCGTGTATATATATATACCTAGATAGGCTCGAAATAAGGTCTCATCAACGCCTCCGGGACTTGATAAATAACTGTGAAGGGACATAAATAAGTTAAACATCTTTCATTAGCCTCATTACTCCCTTCAGATGTGTAGGTGGCAGAACCAGAGGCCATAGAACGGGTCTAGTTGGCGCCTGCGCATTGAAATATCTTCAGCCTGGCGAGAGCTTGACCCAAAATCTACTCAGTTCATGCGATTTCATTAAATTTATAAAAAAGCACTAGACCTTAAAGTGCTGGAGCATTCGTGCACCACAAAAGGACCAATTTTTTATCAAAGGGGCACTTGGGGATGGGAAACTTTTGAATGGCAGCCTGACAGCCCACGCTTTAAGCGTTTAGGCAAAGAAAACTTACAAGGGTGAAAGCAGGGCATCGTAGAGTTTGCTCTCATTTCTAAAGCACTGCAAGGAGGTCATAGTGGCGAAAATATCGGGATCGACGTCTTCACGAGATGGAATGATGGAGGTTTGCACAGCCTGAGACATTGGAAGTTCTGTTTGTAGCGGAGGTTCCTGATCACTAAAAAAAATTGCTACTACGTCTCATTTTGAACTTTAACCTTTATAACCTCCCTATTCAATTCATCCATTCCAGCCCAGTTTGGGAGCAAAGTTTTTCTGCAGGGCTTTGCATTTATTTAATGATGGCCCGGGCAGGAATGTCGGGAATGCTGGTTCAAGCAATAACAATGAAATCTAAATTATCTGTCTCCCTCTATTCGCTCTCAACTGCCAGCTTCCTAACCTTTTACCCGTAAATCGTGAAAATGTATACACATGTGTCCCTGGGAGTAAAAGACTTAGACGAACTTGGAAGACGGGAAAGTAATAAATCGGATGTAACGATTCTCCGTGGATAATAACGACAAACGGGTTCAGGCACAGTTGGAGTCAGTTGCTTCGTCTCGTCAAGGGGAACCTAGTCAGACCGAACGCAGGGTAACGTAGTCTAAAAGTCATCTCCACCCTTTTCCTACCAAATCCTCAACCGGGGCGGGACGACGCACTGTGTGCGAGGCCTATGTCAGTTTCCGGGTAGAGTGTACTACTTGACGCAGAAACAGCGCTTCATCAGTTGGCGGATGACTAGTTCCGAGGAATTCGACACTACACAGATTCACCGAGTCATAAGGCAAGCTTAAGCAACATATATCTCCTTTTCTCCTCAATGAACATACCTAGTCACCCACGCATGTTCAAGGACGTCCTTGAGCTACAAAATGAAGAATGGGCAGGACTTTCATATTCATAAAGAGGTGAAATAGTTATTTCGTTTAAAAAAACTGCTACCCTTCAATTTTAAATAATGTTTTTTTTTTTGAGAGTAGTGCAATTAACAGCGCATTTGGCTCAAAATGACTATTAGATGTCATTGTTGGTTGCCTAGCAACCAAACATACCGATATTCTTTTCTTAGGATCGACCTCAATCATAGCTCGGAGGAGGGCTTGGCAGTCGGGAGGAACGAATGGAGGAATTAGGAAATTTCCCTTTTTCACCTTCTCCAGGAGATTGCGTAGATTTTCATCGTCAAAGGGAAGAGCACCCTAAATTAAAGGGACAGTAGTACATGAAGCCGAAAATCCACTCTCATATTTCGGGCCTAGAGACTCCTCTCTTACTCTTTCTAGGAACCTTCTAGTTAAAATAGTTACGTTGTAAATCAGGATAAAAAGATTATTTCTTGGAATTTGTGGTAAGAGATGCTCCTGACATGACTATCTCGGCTTTAATTAATAAAAGGAAAAGGCAGCCTCTGCAAGGTGAAATAATCCAAAATATTTGAAGGTAAGCGCAGAAAGTGGTGGCAAGATCCACCCCGTTGTCTTTCCTTCAGTGCACAGAAAAACCTACAGACCGAAATATGCATGAATGGTTTCTTAAATCCGGGGATTTTTACTCGTCCATTCCTCCACAACCCTTGTAAGCAGCTCCCCTAGGCTTTACTAAACGATTGTTATGCTTTATGAAAGAATGGAAGATTATTTATTGTGGAGAGGGAGGGGAGTTAATCGGCTTTTAAGTGGGCTGAGGTAGCTCATGAAATGCGACCTACCACTAGTAGGGCGTAGAGAATGACGCCACACGACCAGACATCAGCCATCCGACCGTCATACTTTTCACCCTGGAAAAAAACCAAACTAAATATCAAATTAGGATTTAACTTGACATACTCACTCCCAAATTCAACTCATCTTAGTAAATATCGTTTTAGAACCGAGGGAAAAAACCATACTTCTGTCCCAGTAACAAGGCAGGCATAAAATAAGACAATTTTTCCCGAATCCTTCTCATCAGGAAAAAAACGGCTTTTGTAGGATTAGAAAATAATATTTTAGAACTATTTCCACCTTCTGGTTAGCTGTCCTTTTGAAATTTGCTTTAGAACAAGCAAAGGTACTGGAGCGAACATAGAAAGTCGGTAGCTCGTTCGAGGGCAAAAAGTTGGACGACATGGGGGTGTTAAACAGTTGGAGAGTCCATTTTTCCAACAAAAAAGTGTACAGAGTGGAGAAGAACAGTACAATAAAAAGGTCTGGGGAGAAATAAATCCTAACGAAAAAGACCATTCCGAGGGGAGTCACGCAGGAAGCAGATCGTCTACTCCTCTCTCTCTCTCTCTCTCTCTCTCTACCTCTCTTACGGCCAAATATTCTCTTTCCAAAGACATATGACTGTTTTGGGCATTATATATGAGCATTACTTTTTTTCCACATCTAAACTAACCCGTCTACATTTCAAGTCGGTGTTGGACAATCTCTTCAATGGAGAATGTGTGTGGCCAGTGGTCGGTAGCGAAGCCAGACCATGTCTTTTTGTCTCGGTGGTCAGTAATTAAGGTTGGTACTTTTGTTGTATTAAAATGGAAAAATTAACTTCAGAAATGACATGCCTGTATAGCTGTTCTGTAATTTGCATTCCGAAAGAATATACTAGTTAGTTTTCATCACCCTGAAATGGAAGGGAGGATGCAGTTGTTGAACTCTTAGTACGTTGGACACGGATTTCAAAAAGTGCACTTCAGTGAGGAATTTGAATTTTGTTTTTTTTAGCTTCTACAGCCGCTGAGGTTTAAAATTTCTTTGTGATACCATGAGTATACCGTAAGAGACTCTGTTTGAATGCCTTACTATGGCCTCAAGGGGAGACTTGTAAACGAAAGCGGCAAACAAAAGCATTCTCAGGAGTTCCGAATGGCTTAATTTAAGGAGGTTTTATGACAGAAAGATTACTAAAGCCACGTTCACTTTTAGAATGCTCCCTTTGATTCCTTCCAACTTTGCGTTCAAAAGCACTGGACTTTAGCAATTTGAAAACCTCAATTGTGGAGTTGCCTACGATATGCAACTGTATCATCGAAGTTGCAGTCAAATGTTTTCTCGTCTCTATAAAATTTGGTAGTCACATTTCCTAGCATGTGGGCTGGTTTTAAAAGCACCGACTGTGTTGCAATATCCAACGCGGAAGACCACTTGACTATGCAAACTCTTCAGCACTTTAGAGTGCCATCGTCTTCTTTCCATAACAGAAGACCTACAGGCTTTCCAAATACAAATGATGACTATTTTTACCCGGCGTGGTGCAAAATAAGTTGAGTATGAAAGCATTTAAGCGGAAACGAGGGCACCACCGATTATTCATAATTCAGCCTTGAGGTTGTTATCTAAGTACTGCAGATTTGCTTGAAAGGCAAAGCCGACACTGATATATCGGAAGACAATAAGATTTATAAAGGAATACTTTCTGGGGAAACTTATCTCCATTACATCTGCGCGCTGTGGGCAGGCTGGAAGGCGGCGTCTGTTGGTCCTCTGTCAAAAACTGACTATCACGCTTTTAGAGCACTGAATCACGCCTTGTCGATTTACGACAGGCCATGGAAAAAATATCCACGCTTCGCTAATGCCGACTAATATAGGGAAGAGATTTAAGCTAAAGACTTTTGATTTCAATCACGAATAACGTTTTGTTTGTGAAAAGTGTTTGAAGACTTGTTTTCGGTCTATTCCAATTAGGCCTTCAAAATGATTTTGAGCAAATTCGCTACAAGAGTCTCAGAGGAAATTTAGTCACTGCAGCCTGCTACTCAGGAACCAGAATGTAATTTTCTTTTAAGCGAGAATTAATCCGTTTACAGTGTAACTTGGGGTGACCAGTTATCAAAAATGGATGACGGAAACGTCACCTATACGTGACGCCGGTGGCAAACATGTTAAGATGGCAATAAAACGGGAAAATAAAAATATGATACCTGGAAATTAAAAAAGTTACTTCACGTTTTGCATTTAAACCAGAGCTTTTAAGCGAAGAACTTGGCTTTGTCTTTATTGATGAAAAGGAATCCTAACAATACCATGCGCAGTTTTGTGTCACGCTTGAAAGGAGTGAAGGACAAATTGATGGACTTTAAAGCTTATTGTCATCCATAAAAACATTTAAAGCCCATTTGGTTTCCCTGCTTGATCTAGACGTAAACGATTAAAGTACTTAGTTCTAAAGCTTTGCACTCTGGCATTGCACATGATAGCCCTAGATCCTACAGAACAAATTCGACAAAAAAGTTTTTGAAGCTTTGGAAGCAAGCCAAGTTTATTTTTCAGGGCAGCCAAGCTTTAATCACGTTCGTCAGTTTAAAAAGGAAAGGTTGATAAAAAAGAGGATGAACTGAAAGTAGGAGGAAGGTAATGGAGACATCCGTAAAGCGTGCCGTATTGATAGTCCAACACTTATCCATCCTTGTTTTTAAATTCATGCAAATAAACAAGCACATTCATTTTACATATTTCAAGTAGTTCTAACAATCGACTGTAACAGGATTTATGCGAAAAGGACAGGAATCCTTCACCACCTGATAGTTTGCCAAACAAAGGAGGTGACGCAAGACCCTCATCGGAATCTGCTGGATGTATCACTTCCATTGAATTTAAATTTCTTCTCGCTGGAGCAAAAAAAAATTAACAGAATTACTATCGGAGATGTTAAGAATGATAGACGCAACAGAGCAATAGTTTGGTTTACATGCCAGCACTCAGACTTCCAAAATCTCCCATGATCCGGCCTTCACGTTGATTCCATCTTCGGTTGCCGGACAGCTAACTTTCCCGTGCGTGCACTCTACCTCAAATCATTAATTAAATAGAAGTTCTGCTGCAACAAGTGTTTCCCTTATTGGTAAAAATTAGCAGCAAAGTTCTTCAAAGTAGCTTTTGCATTATCATTCTCTTTTTGTTCGTAACTACTTACAATTGTCCACTTTGTAGGCACAATGTTTTAAATACTCCACTAAAAACAGATTTTATGTAGCGAAACTATCACCCAATTAGAAGACAAAACTTTGCCAAACAAGTGTACTCCTCTGAGTCAATTTTTCTTCAAACCATCATGGAAAGACAAGTGATGCTATCCGATGGGACAAGTCATCCATACTTACAATTGAAACAAAGTACACTTCTTTTTCAAAACCCGATTATAATCACGCAAAAAGTGAGAAAAAGGGAGTCATGCCGAATGAACGCAGCGTTGATGGATGTGGGTATCTCGGCAACTCTGCAAGGCCCCAAATAAAGCGTTGAAATTTTGTTTTTGTGACATCTAACAAGACTGGCCTAACATGATTAAAACAAAGTAATTCAGCAGTCTTTTTGTTTTAATCGTTTTCTGCAAGTTAATGTGAGAAATCGCGTAATTTATTTAAGTGAGACTCTTCATTAGAAGTGTGGTGCGCTAGTGTCTGAAATAAAGTCCAAATCTCCTTTACTTGTGTTTTATGCACGTACTGATAAAATTTGAATATGCTGCACGTATATTTTGTCGAAATTAAGAGCCTAGAGTAATTAGGTCACAATATGGAGACAAAAACTAAAAAACTTAGCATTTCGGTAGTAATGTACTGGTAGAGTTTTAAAAACCGCGTTACAAGATAAAAAGGGAAGGAGAGAGAGAGAGAGAGAGAGAGAAGGTGAGGGAGAGCAGTATTAAAAAGGGCACAAACAACGCATGCCATGCGGGACAACAAGTTGGGGTTATTTGCTTGGCATTCCATCTTACCCGTATAACTTCCGGACATGCATAGTGGGGCGACCTAAAAATTAGTCGTTCCATGGTAGGTATACATATTATTTTTTTGCAGAAAAAATAAATATTGCCTAACAGTCCACCCTTTTACAGTGAGAATAATCAGTAATTTTGCGAAAAATTCCACCGGAACTGGATATTGTAAGTTCCTTCATTTGGTAAAATGATTTAAGCATAGATAATTTAATGACTTCTTTGGTGCTTATAGGTATTTCCTACAGCAAGAAATTTGGCGCAAAATAGTTTTCTCAGAAGTAAAAAATATTATGATTTACGGAAAATGCGTGGACCAAGAAAACACTTATCAGAAGGATTGTCGTGTAGCAACATCTAGCAACGAAACAAACGTACTGAATGTAAATTTACCACATCAACACAATTCTTTCGCCCCCTAAAGCGCCTTACTTTTTCATAAAGAAATATTTGCCTCAAAACTAATCATCTAATTAGTTAAAGATATCTATAACTTTTTAGAACGTGCAAGGCCCCTAAAAGCGCCCAACAATAAAAGTACAGGCATTTGGAGCACTTATATTAGTACAGATAATAGGGTTCGTTTTTGTAACAATAAAGGATAGCGCCATTTCTGATATCCGAAATGATGCTATGTCCGAAGCATTTTTGTCCGCGACAGTAATCTGTCCATGGTATAAATTTTGCAGCACCGGATCGCGCAATCTTGGGTGTTAAGCCCACTCGCAGGTGCACAGCGTCTATACTACGCAAAAATTCCCCAAAACATCTATTACATGCTACAAACCATTACAATATGCAAAAGTAGACTATTTTGGGCCTCATCATTAGGCATAGACTAAGTCGAAACGACACAATTGATGCAAGAAAGGGGGAGGAGAGCATTACGTCGCAACAAAAGGCGAAAAATTCCGATTAATTTACTTTCTAGCTTTGATGTAGGTCATGTAAAGGGAAAAAGTGAATTTGATTCAACCCACTTTACATTCTTCCCTTGGTTGGGGAAAAAAGGAGCATAAAATATGGCGTAGGCATCATGTATCGTGTTCAGATCTA